ACGACGTACTCAAAATCTTGTCCCTTTGCGATTAGACATTCCTGCTCAGCAAGGGGAAGATGAGAACGCAAAGGTGTTGCTGGCTCATATAAACCCTGATGGGTGTTGAAAAAGTATCAGCAAGTCCTTGACTAGAGCTCAACTTATCCTGACGAGGAGTGCTCTGGATTCCTCCCTCTGGGCTTCGCGTCGTCCTTTCTTTTCTGTGAAAGGTAGTTCATATTTGCCGTTGCCTAGTTTCCTTAGCTTGCTTACAAGTAGAAATCTGAGGGTCCAAAGACCTCTTTGCATTTTGTGCTGTTTCTGCACCTTTCAGTTTAAGCCTTAGTGTGTCTTTTAAAAACTTGAGTATGCTGTGCATCTTACTGAAACTCGTGCCATTAGGCAACCCTCTCCCACAGATCTCTTGTGGGCAGCCTCTCTCTACCCTGGCCGTCTACTGGGCTTGCTGAGGGTCGCCACCTGTGTGGCTGGAGTTGCATCCCCTGAAAAGATGTGTGTGAGTCCTACCTGGGAAGTGACCTTATCTGTAAACAGTGACATGAAAGATGTGATGAAGCTGGATAGGTGGCACACGCCTGTGATCCCAGCATCTTGGGAGGCTGAGGCAGGAGGATCACAAGTTCAAAGTCAGCTTCAGCAACTTGGAGAGACCCTAAGCAACTTAGCAAAGATCCTGTCTCAAAATAAAATCTAAAAAGAGCAGGGGATGTGGCTGGTGGTTAAGCGCTCCTGGATTCAATCTCTGGTGTCTCCCCCCACCCAAGAAAAAAAGATTTAATTAAGTTAAAACAAGATTATACTGAATCAGGGTGAACCCCGATCCAGTGGTTGTGGGAAGTTTGGACGTAGACACAGGTGACACAGGAAAGAAAGGCAGTGCAGATGGCGGCCGAAGTCGGGGTTGTGGGTCTGAGGCCGAGAAACGGCAAGGAGCGCTGGCCGCTGCGCAGGACCAGGAGGGCTCGGGACAGAGTCTTCCGCAGGACTCCAGAGGAAACAGTGTCTGGGGACCTCTCGATTCAGACTTTGGGCCTCCAAACCGATAAAAAATCCCTTTTGGTTTAGGCCACCCAGTTTGTGGTAATTTGTTACAGCACCCTGTAAACTAACCCAGAGTGTTAGAAGCCCAGTTGTTAAACCAAACGGTTCTCTAGGCACTATTTTATTTTAGATCTTTCTGAGGTTTTATGGAATTTTTAAAGCCACACTCTTAGTTCATTTTAAACCATGTTTTTTTGGCAGTACCCTGAATTAAACCTTTGCTTGAAGTCCATTTCTCAATTTTAGTATCATTCACTATTACTGGATGTTCTCAGAATTATCTTCACCTACCTTCTTCGCCTCTCCTTTTTTGTACTGGGGATTGAACTCAGGGGCACTCAACCACAGAGCCACATCGCCAGCCCTATTTTGTATTTTTTTAGTTGTTGATGGACCTTTATTTTATTCATTTATTTATATGCAGTGCTGAGAATGAACCCAGTGCCTCACACATGCCAGGCAAGTGCTCCACCACTGAGCCCCAGCCCCAGGCCCTCTTATTTGGTATTTTATTTAGAGACAGGTCTCACTGAGTTGCTTAGCGCCTTGCCATTGCTGAGGCTGGCTTTGAACTTGCGATCCTCCTGCCTCGGCCTCTGGAACTGCTGGGATTACAGGCATGCACCCCCCGCGCTGGCCCTAACTGGTTTCCAACTGGCCTTCCTTTAGTCTGCCCCTCTCCTCTTGCATCTTGATGCCAGCTGCGAGAAGACGGGGTACCTTCAACACAGCGAGTGCCTTTAGCAGAGCCCGTGCTGTTCAGGAGGTGGCAGACCTTCTGCTGACCCCTGAGGCTCCCGGGTCGCTCTCTCTGCAGATCAGGAGATCTGCGGCCCTCCCCTAGCTTTCCCTGACTCCCCAGAAGCACCTTGCTTCTGCCTTGTTGTTGTGCTGTGCCTGCACTCACTGTCGGCTCTGCACTATGTCTGCCTGCCTTCCCCCACCCGGGCCAGCCTGGGCTTGGGCATGCAGGCCGAGGTCCTGCCCTGAGCTCCCTCCCTGCTCTCTGGCTTCCTCCGGGGCTCCAGAGCCCTTCCAGCTCCTGTCCATGCTGGGGTGCCAAAGGCAGACCCATGTAGCTTTTTATTGTGACAGTACCTACTTCTGTATACCAAATCTGTAGTGATCATCAGCTGCTCTAGGGTGAATTATCCCAGAGGTCAGTGGCTCTAAACAACAGGCATTTATGGCAGCCCTGGGTCTAGCTGCAGCCGGCAAGAAGGCAGGCAGTTCCTCCCCCTGTCGCACCAAGAGAGACCCCTGGCTACTGCCTGGAGGCCTGGGAGCCAGGGGGCCTCCCTAACTCTGCATCTCCTACCCTTAGCCCTTGCCCCACCCACCCCCAGGGCCACCGCCACCACCACTGCCTCCCACCATGTCTCTGAAGAGAATCCACAAGGAGTTGAGTGACCTGTTAAGGGACCCCTCGGCTGAGTGTTGCGCAGGCCCTGTTGGAGATGATAGGTTCTATTGGCCAGCTACAATAATGGGGCCAAATGACAGTCCCCATCAGAGTGGAGTTTTGTTTTGTTTTGTTTTTTTTTTTGGACAATTTATTTCCCAACAGGTTATCCCTTCAAACCACCTAAGGTTGCATTCACAAGAATTTATCATCCCGATATTAACGGTAATGGCAGCATTTGTCTTGATACTCTAAGGACACAGTGCTCTCCGGCACTGTTTGGGAAGTACTCTTGTCCATCTGTTCCCGGCTTGGCTCGGATCTACAAAACAGGAAAGTGCAACAGAATAGTTGGGAATGAACTCAGAGGATGCAATGTAATTAAAGAGACTATTGAATAATCTCTACAAGTAAAAGATAAGGAACTCTAAAGAGAAAGTCCTTTTGATTTCCCTTTAGTCAAATGCAAAGCGTTCTATGAGCCCCTCCTGTCCCCTGTGCACAGGTCTACCTGATACAGCAGGGCTGCGTGTTGTACGCACTTGGGACAACAAACCAGAGACACTGCACTTCTGTACCAGCGTTGCCTCCTAGCAGGGGAGTTCTCCAGGCGTAACCTAGGTGTGAGCCTAAAAACCCCCTGATGGATCACAGCAAGGGGTGAAGAATGGCAGTGGTACACGGTGTACGCCTTGATGGGGTAAAGCTTTGCTGACCTGTTAGGAGATGGTTTTTAAGTGGAATCCATTTAAATGCAAAACAGTTATGAAAAATGAGGTGAAGAACAGAGTTGTTTCTGTATTCATTTTATTCTGAAGGACCTGTAACTTGGGTGAGGGGGTTATGACCACAGTAAACTCTACCCACATCCTGTATCTCAAGGTCCAAGTTTGACTGGTCAGCATTAAATGGACTGGAGCTATTGGTATGGAAACGTTAGTATGTGATGGGCTTTGTCCCCAACTTCTTTTATATGTCCCTGCCCCTGACCTTCGTCCTTTCAGCCCCTTCTCCGTATTCTTTGGTTTGTATGTGGCTTCTCACTTAATACACAGCTCAGCTCCAATTCTTCTTAGGTTTTAACTGCTTAGGTCTGTTTGGGTGTAAGGGTGAGAATTCATCTGATGGAGATACTTGTATATTTAAAGACCCATTGCTCCTCTGGAGGTTCTGTGTTCAAGAATGTTTAATCAACTGATTACTACAATCATTACATTAAAAAGAACAGGCATTTATTATCTAACAAATTCATTGGGCCAGGAATTTGGAAGTTTAGCTGGGTTGTTCTGGTCCAAGATCTCATGAGGTTACGGTCAAGATGTTGGCCATTGCTGCAGTCATCTAGAGGACCCGCTAGGTCTTACACATATTTTGCAAGTTTGTTCTGGCTATTGGTAGGGGGCCTTAGTCCCCTGTCTCCCAGTACTGGGTATGGAGCCCAGGAGCACCTGGCTATTTAGGCAATTTTGTTAATTAAAAAATAAATGTTGTCCTGGCATGGTGGCACACCCCTGTAATCTTAGCCACTCAGAAGGCTGAGGCAGGAGGATCACAAGTTTGAGGCCAGTCAGGGGAACTTAGTAAGACTCTTGACTCAAAGTAGAAAAATAAAAAGGTCTGGGTATATATAGCTCACTGGTAAAGTCCCCCTGGGTTCAATCCCCAGTAAAAAAAATAAGTAATGTACACAAAATACAAAAACAAAAACTAGAAAGGAAATAGTATAATTAGTTATTTTTGAATGTTAGTAGTAAGGAAAGTCTAATAATAGCTACTTTCAAAGCTACGTGGATTGGCCTAACACAGTAGGAACCAGGGAATTAAAAGTGCAGTCATTCAAATCAGGAAATGTAGGGAGACAATCCTCCTCCCCCAGTCCTCCCCCGTCCTCCCCCTCCTCCCCCTCCTCCCCCTCCTCCCTGTCCTCTCCCCTCCTCCTCCTCCTCCTCCTTTTTTTTTTTTTTTTAACTAAGGCATCATCCCAATATCTGTGGGGAACAAAGACCAACTCATTAATATAAATAAACAGCAGTATATGCCATCTTAAGTGTTCAGAATGACAAGTACCAAATGTGTATATTTGTATGTATCATAGTCATCTGAAATGCCTTTAAAAATCATTCTCAAAATTACCAAAACAAAAAATCTTTAGATGATACCTTATTCAGAAACCCAGTATATAAGACACATAAAAAATGAAACTGCCATTTTGGATCTAGAACCCTACTGGTGCAGCTTCCATTTTAACCCCTCCTCACGCCAGTGCCAGAGATCCAAGGAACATAATTTGAAAAATGCACCATAACATGATTCCTTTCCAGCCTAATTCACAAAAATCTGTCCATCTGTTAAGATGTTAGAAGTCTAGAAAATAGCCATAGTAGCAAAGTCACACACCACTAGATAGCAGACTGATTTCTGATGCTCTCTTTTGTAATAGTGGAAAGCCATTTGTGGGTTAGGGAAGCAGTTGGATTTGTCCGTGTGTGGATATCTATAATCTATAGAGTACTTCGGTTGTCTTATCTACTTTTTTTTTTCTCTCTTTTAACAGAATAATGCAACAGATCTTTGCAGGATTCCTTGCAAATTCTGCAATTCCAGGATCCCCACACCCTTTTTCTTGGTAAGTGACTAATTTCTATCTTACAGTGCTGAGCTTGCCTCATTTTAGGTGCTGTAGTTTCTGTTCTATACAGAGAGACACACAGAACTATGTTGGTGAGTATGTAGTTGTGACCGGAAGGCTCTTACACTGCCCTTGTCTCCCGAGCCCAAACTTAGTCACAATTTATATTGTTGTTACTATTATTATTTTGTTCAGGCTCAGGAGGGTTGTCCTGGTTCCCCAAGACACTTGGGTTTGGATGCTGGGCATGTCTGATTTCTTTTATATTCTGGTCTGAGGGTTGTGTTGAGAAGGGAAATGAAGTGGTCCTTGCTAGGCTTGGTATCTGATTTGTGAATTTCCTCTCTAGACCATATAGGAAGCCTTTAATCCTTAAGAATTTCTGAAGTTGAAAATATAACATTAACTTTCCTTTTCCAAAGAAAGAATATCAGAAGAAACAAAAGGCTATAATTCAGTATCAGAGTGACACTTAACACTTACATAGTAGGGGTTAAAAATGGAATTTCTTCTTATATAGACAGTTATTTGCTACTTCTCTGTCCCAGAAGATTCCTTTGCTCAGAGGGTCCTTGGTCCTTCCCCATACTTACCCCATTTTCCAGCCTCTAGTTCTTTTAAATGGGTTTCGATCAGAGCCTGGACCTCTGTCTTCCAAGGTACTGTACCAGCAGCACCAAGAACAAGGTGCTGCCAAGTCTCTTGTAATTGTTCTGAGGTGTGATTCAGGGAGACTTCTGTGGCTGCTGTTCTACTAGAAAGCTTCTCGTTGTCCAGGACCATGGGCAGCCCTTCGAGTGAGGGAAGTCTGCTGTAGATTGTAGCCAGCTGTGAAGGAAAACTCTCCTTAGAAAGCAGCTCCGTCCTACGTTGGATATACGTGGGTAGAGAAGAGACAGACTTTCCTTGGCCAACAGGCAGTGAGCCTCTCTTCTTGCTCTGGGTGTCATGTAGTATTTCAGGTGGCTTTACTTTGTAGGTTTCAGTTAAGTAAAATTTGTAGAGAATGAGAGGCTATCTCGAGTTAATCGGTTTGACCTTTAAAATGCAGAGAAATTCTTTGCCTCTTGATTCTAGAAGATTAGTGGCTCTCAAGCTCTGAGTGAGAAAACAGGAACCCGCTGCCAGTTTTTCTGAAGTGTAAGGCAGAGCCTGGCTACTTCATCTAATGCTCTCTGTCTCATCTCACGTATAGGAGCGGGATGCTGCACTCCAACCCTGGGGACTATGCCTGGGGTCAGACAGGGCTTGATGCCATTGTAACCCAGGTGAGGAGCTGCCTTTTGAGGGTGTCTGTTCAGTGTGTCTCGTGGTTCCACAGGCTTCCTGCTCTCCTTCTGCTACTTTCTTGAAATGGCAATCACTCTGCTTTCTCTAATATTTCGAGCTTTGGGGTTTCCACTTTACTAAAGGGATAAAGGGTTTGTGGGTTTAGTTCAGCATTCATGTACCTACTAGGTCCAAGGAAATTTCTAGAAGATTGCTTCACCTCCAGAAAACTAAAGACTTCTCCTATAACAAACAGTACATTGTATTTTTGGCCTCTTGTTCAGTCCTATGGAAATCCTATAAATAAGTACTTCACAAAACAGGAGGGTCTCAAATGTTAAAGCAGGGATTTCTGCTTGATGGAGCAAAGTAGGGGAAGGAAGCAGAGAAAAAGGTTTTCCCACGCCATGTACAGTTGCTTCCACTTGTTTATGTTCATTTAAATTTGTTTGGTTTTTCATCTCCCTTGTGGATTGCCAAGTGTCAAAAGCATGTCATTTTTATCCAAGTCTCGATGTAGGCAGTAATTTACCTATTTCTTGGCTTAGTTTATGCCACTCTCCATACTCCCACCCTTTTCTTTCTTCCAGCAGAATGACGTTTTTGGACCAGCTAAGTATTTTTATTAAGCTGTAGTTTTATTCATGACATCACAACCCTTTTGCCACCCTTAAGTTGCTTTATGCCCAAAAGTGGACCTTGCAATCATGGGTATGTCTGTAGGCTTATACTAATGTCACTCTGAAATTGTAAAGCAATTGTAAGTGTCTAGCAGCAGAAAAAGAGAAACCCAACCTTCAGAGCCTTGCGGAAGTAAGAGCAATTAACATTTCTGATATCTTCACTGTTTGTTCTCAGCTGGAGCGCCTCCCTCTCCAGGGACATTGAGATGTCTGCCACATCTTCTTTTTCTTTCTCCTTTTTTGTAGCTTTTAGGACAGCTGGAAAACACAGGGCCTCCCCCAGCTGACAAGGAAAAAATCACCTCTCTTCCAACAGTGAGCGTAACTCCGGAACAAGTTGGTAGGTTCATTTTCATATTTACTCTGTCATCTGATGACCTCTGCCCAAATCCCAGTACCTTCCTACACTAGGAATCTTCAGGTGAAGCTATAGCCCTCTAAAATTCTAACCTGTGTACTGGAATTGAAAGCTACCTGCCCTTTCATTAGGTAAATAAATAGGTGTTTCCTAGGCAGTCACCATATCCCTTAAGATTTGATTCTCACCAGTTGAAGAACTTATTATTAGAAGCAAAACTCATCAACTGACTAAAAACAGTGTTGAAAATAATACTGGGCAGATGATACTGATCTTGGGGAAAGGGGAAAAAAAACAAATGAGAAACAATATATTTGCTTTTCTTTTGCTTTGTGTCAGGTGCACTTAGATACACTAGAATAAATACTGTTTTATTTTTAAGCACTGAAGGAATTCAATGATAAGGAACATAATTTTGTACTGAGGGTTTCTTTCCCTGTAAATTTAGATTTACAGTCAAAGAAGATTTAAAGACAAGATGGACAATCTGAGGTCATTCTATTTAAGGAAAATCATTAACTAATTTAATAATATCAGCGTAGACATGGTGTTTGAGTCAGGTACAGGAAAGTGACCTTATTAGACCTGAAATAGAATCTGATTTGGGGAGTAGTAGAAAGTATGACTAGACAGGAAGGGTGGGACCTTGTTGAGAAGTCAGGACTGGACGCACTAGGTTTTATAGGTCCTCGAAACGAGTAAAGAGGGATTTAAGTGTTCTTTAGGGAAGCTTAGTCTTTAGAGAAGTTAGTACGTAAAATAGAGTGGAAGTGAAAACGCAGGCAAAGATGGGGCTTGAAGAACCTCTGTAGCAGTCTAGGAGGGGTGAGGGGTTCAGGTGATGGTGGCAATGCTAACAGAAAGAAAAGGTACAGTTTAAGTTCATCTTGAAGAAATGCTTTCCTCGCCGATTGTAACATGGGTTGAAAGAGGAGGCAGGGTCAAGATGATTCTCAGATTTCACAATTTGTAACAGTAAGAGTGGTTCATTAGGGAAGGAGGAGGAGTGAGTGGGCCCGGTTTAGGTAAGGAGAAGATGTGATGGTCTTTATTTTTGAATTTGTTGATTTGATGTGCCAGCTGAAAATCCAGATGAGAATGAATGAGTTGAAGGTTCCTGTGAAGCTGGTATCAGGGAAAGTTAGCTGGTAGCAAAGTATAAGAAACATTTTGAGGGTTAAAGGCCTGGAATTAGGAATATTGAAGTAGAAGTAGACTTGGCATGAAAATTAAGAGTTGGAATTAAGGCAAAGTGGTGGGAACAGAAAGGAAGGAAGGAAGGAATCAATTTAAGTGGAACTCGTGGTCCAAATTCCCTGACCACTGTTGAGTCATGGAGCCCTATCCCAGCCACTGGGATAGTACAGTAGTTGGTGTTATTAGTCAAACTTGGGAAATTCATTATTTGTTGCTTAGAATTCCCAGTGTAATTTGTGATCATTTCCTCTGAGGAAAGAGGGCTTCCTGTCCCTTGATTTAGAGGCCTGAGCGAGACTTAGTCTTTGTAATTCTGTAGCACCACCTCCTGGTACAGCTTTTAATTGACAGCTTCTGCAGAGGAATTTAGGGCACCCACGCTGAAAAAGGATGCATGATATGAAACAGAGCAGGGCAAAAGTGGCTTGAGACACTGAATAAAATTGCTGAGATAAGTCCCTTGGTCATGGTGCACAGATTGCCAGTGTTTCCTGAGCAGACACTGTGACTGCCAAAGATTGTCACACATTGGAGAAGATGCTTTCCTGGTTTTTTCACCAGATCACCTAAGCCTGTTTATTTCTTCCAACCTTTTGCATTACAGAGTGGACTTATCATGGTCTAGATCATGTTGGAGTAGGTCCCATTCCTTGTTCTGCTTTTCATGTCCCTGTCTATTACGACCTTTCTACCCACCATTTTGAAACACAATTCATGCTTTTGGGCCGGGAGCACCAGGGATTGAACTCAGGGGCACTCAACCACTGAGCTCCACCCCCAGCCCTATTTTGTATTTTATTTAGAGACAGGGTCTCACTGAGTTGCTTAGGGCCTTGCTGTTGCTGAGGCTGGCTTTGAACTCTGGATCCTCCTGCCTCAGCCCACCCGCCCCAGCCACTGGGATCCTAGGTGTGCGTCCGCCACCACGCCCAGCTTGCAGTTTAGGCTTTTTATCTACCTCCCACTTAGAGGCAGCTTTACTTTTGTCTCTTGTGTCCTTTCTTATGCGTTCCTTGTATTGTAAGAGACATTCTTTTTTTCCTTCATTTTGTTTATTACTTTAAGAGGTATTTCTTGAATTGTAATGCATTCTGCTGTCGTGTATTTAAAAAACGAAATCAATAAAAATAAATAAATAGATAGATAAATGAATAAAAGGCATTTCTTCCTCCAACAGATATGGGTTTAGAATGTCCAGTTTGCAAAGAAGATTACACAGTTGAAGAGGAAGTCCGGCAGCTACCCTGCAATCACTTCTTTCACAGCAGCTGTATTGTGCCATGGTTAGAACTGGTGAGTATAGCCAGCCGTCATCCGCAATGAGGCACTCACGTAAGGGACATTTTCTTGTGGAGATGGCTCAGAGTACGGATGTAGTTATCAGTTCATGTAAGAGCCAGATAAGTCAGATTTTAGCCCCATAAACCATGACTAACTCCCGGTACTACCACCACTGTTCTGTTAGACTACCATCTCTTGGGAACTTGTTTGACCAGAAATCAGCAAACTGTAGCCCACGGGCCTTGTGGCCTGCCAGCTGAGTTTGTCAGTAAAGTCCCGTTGGTACACAAGCCGTGCCGATGTGTGCACAGCCTGTGGTTCTGTGGCTGCTTCTGTGCTACGTGGGTAGAGGTGAATGGTTTGAGCAGAGCGGGTGGCCTGCCAAGGTTTGCTGACCCTTCATGTACATGGCATGGAAGAGCAGTGAGCAGTTACAGCTCCTGTCGTGTCTCACGTTGCTGTTTCTAGTTAGTTGTGTTTGGACTTCAAATGGAGTAATGGGGGAAAGTGTTACTTATTATTTATTAGGTGGCCTAGAATTCTGTTGATTTTGCTTGAAGTGTTGTTTGGGAGATATCCTGGCTTCACGCCTTTGGAGCCCAACTCTGTTGAGGAGCTGCCTGGCCTTTTGTCTTTCTGGGTGTCGAGTCATAATTTTAGATGTTTAACTTCCAGGGTTTCTTAAGAGCTCAGAACCCTAGTTCTCAGGACTGGATATTCATATGGATTAATATGTTTCTGTTTCAGCATGACACATGTCCTGTATGTAGGAAGAGTTTAAATGGTGAGGATTCTACGCGGCAAACCCAGAGCTCTGAGGCCTCTGCAAGCAACAGATTTAGCAATGACAGCCAGCTACATGATCGATGGACTTTCTGAAACTAAAGGTCACACCTGAACCAGGGCTGTCTGTGGTAGTCTTCTTAAAACATAGCTATAGATTCTATCAAAACAAAAAATAGTAGATGGATTTAGGAATCACATAAGAAACCCCAACCCATAATATTAACGCAATGAGTGTTTTTCTTCTCTAAATTTAAAGTTAGTACCTACCGATTGAATTGTATCACAACCAAATGCCTCTTACTCCTGAATTCAGAGTGATAATTTTTTAAGTGTGAAACTTAACTATGTGGGTTTGCCCCTGCCTGAAGAGAGTCAGTTCCTTGAAGTCTAGCGAGGGTCCTGCTGTCTGTCATGTCTCCTTGGGATGGATGTTCCCACCTCCTCCTTCAGCCTCCTTCTACCCCATCGTTAGTATATTTTACAGTGAACACAGAGGAACCAGAGCCCTCAAGTCCTGCTGACGTCAGGTCCTGTTGTCTTTATTGTACAGAAGCATCTACTTTTGACCACATTAGCAATAAGGTGATGTCAGATTGATTCAGGAATTTGAGACTAAGGATCTTGTTTTGTTTTAATCCTCAGAGCACAAATCAAAGAAAAATTACAGTGGAAAGGAAAAGGTAACCTGTCGTAAACTTTAGTTTTTTAATTCTTGAGAGTCTTGTGCTGTTGGGAATCTGATTCTGGTTCCTTTCTGGGAATGAGTTGGGCAGCAAGTAGCGTCAGAAAGACAGATGTTTAAAATCTTAAGTTCTGTGATTTTTTTTTTTTTTTATGATCCTTAACTCATTGTTTACTGTTTGTCTTAAGAACCTTAATATAATTTCTCTCATAGAAATATAATTATTTCATACTGCTTCTATATCCAGTTCACTGCTTTTGGTAATTCAGTGCTCTTTAGGAATTGAGATTTTACATTGTCTTTTAATCTTTAAAGCCCATTGTTTGTCTTGGAAACTTTTCTGTTCTGCTTTGATTCTGGCAACACTTAGAATCAAACTGATTATGTGATCATGCCCAAAACAACTTGGCCTGGAAGAGGTAGGCCTTACTTTTTAAGCTAACAGTGTCCCATATGTGTGCTCTTCAAGTGTTTAAAGTTGAATAAATGAAGAAAGAATGTCAATGTTGTTTGAACTTCAGAGTCTTAAAAGGACACAGTGGGGACATACAACAGCTGTGGTGTATTAAAAGTGGCACCATTTATATGGTCATATCAGTTTTTCATAGTTTAGAATGATCAGAGCAAGACTGCCACTCTCTGGTGAATCTCTTTCTTGGCTAAGAGTCTTCTCAATTTTTGTTGACTGTCACTGGTTTAGGGGTGAGGGAGGGGGCTAAAGGTCTCTTTGTACTTTGCTAAAGGATGACAGAGTTGGAAAGGGAAGACAGAAGTGGGAAGAGTAGCCTGCTGAACTTGAGCCTGCCTCTAAAAGTTGTGACCCGAAGGTCTGGTCCAGGTGGGACCGGAGGGATGAGAGGTCTTTCTCATGCGCTCTCGACCTCTGTGGCGGTGGCTCTCTGGGGATGTGATCTGGTTATTGTGGTCAGCCAGAACTGCAGCCTGGGAGGACCCTGGTTCTGTGTCGGGGTGGAGAGGACGTGGGCAGGCGAGAGTGTGTCACCAGTGTTTAACCTCTGTTTAGCTGGGGTTGAAGCCCATTGCAGTGTTCAAGTAGAGCAGTATCAGCCATCTTGGAAAAAATTCTGACAGCTTGGAAATTTTTGTCTGTTAAGTGTCTAATGTTGAGACAGGCTGGGGTTAGTTACAACTAGAGAACTAAAGGATAGGAGTAGTTTTCACAAAGAATGGAAGCAAAGTGCTAAATAGGAATCTGCCTTTTTAATGTATAATATAGCAAGCACCAGACTAAATTGTCTGAAGTTTTCTTCACATGTTTTGCACTGATAGGGGCCATGAGACTCATCCCACTTATGAATTTGTAGTGTTTCTTCCTATAATGGGCAGCATCTCGGGCTTCCAGATTATTTTATGTTAAGGAGTTTGAGTTCCTCAGAGAAACACAACCAACAGGACACACGTGTGATATAGAATTCTTTATATAAGGAAGTGACTTATACCTTCATGCAGATTCTGCAGTGGACCAGCTACATACAGATCTAGGAAAGCAGTTGGTATGGTTTCAGTCCAAGAGTGAAGGCTGCGCACCCAGACCCACAGCCAGGGAGTGAGTTCCACTCTGAATACCAGCCGGAGCTGATGCCTCCCTTCCAGTCCAAACAGCAGGGAACCTGAGTCCCAGCTTAAGCCCTCGGGCACGAGCCCCCTCTGAGTGGGGGGTGTCGGCCTTGGTCTGTCCAGGCCTCTCACTGATGGGGTCTCCCACCTTAGGGACAGCAGTCACCCAGAATAGTGCTCATTGTTATTTTACTATCATTATCATCATGACTTAAGTGCTTATCAGTGTGTCGTGATGATACATGGTCATACGCCCTTGGGGTTACGTCACTTCCTCTCAGCCCCACCTGCTGCTTCTCTCCCCCCTTGCTCTCCTTTCTTTACTCCATTGGTGTCCTTTATTTATCTATTCATTTTTAATTGGTGCTTTTCTCTCTCTCACTCTCTCACACACACACTCACACACGTATACCTCAAGGTGGAATTCCCTGGGGTATATGTACGTGTGTACAAAGGGTGATCTTGTCACATTCATCCCACGTTTTCTTTCTTTTCTCCTCTTCCTTCTCCTTCCAGTCTCCTCCTCCTCCACTGGTCTTCCCTCTGTTTTTGTGAGATCCAACCCTTTGTTCCCCTTTACTTTGCTGTAGTTTCTGCATATGAGAGAAAACGTTTGACCCTTGACTTTCTGAGTCTGCTGATTCCATTTAGCATGCTGTTTTCCAGTTCTATTTATATACCACAAATGCCATGATTTTATTTATGACTGAGTAGGACTCCATTGTACGTATATACCACATTTTCTTAATTCAGTCATCTGTTGATGGGCACCTGGGCTGGTTCCATAACTTGGCTGTTACACATTCGCTACTGTAGACGTTGATGTTCCCCTATCACTATGGTATGGTGATTTTAATTCTGGATACCAAGAGTGGATTACCTGACAGCCAGAACAGTGTCTGAACAAATATCTGGGCATCCTGTAGCCTACTCAAATTACAAGGTTGTCTATTTACACATCTCACACACAGTGATCCTCATCCTACTTATATTTTTCCAAGTGAACAGTCTTTGAGATATGTCTGTCTTGGCTTAAGAGACCTCAGTGGTAATGATATGTTGTGTGTGCATAACTTCTGTGTTTTTCCTTCTTAACCTAAATTAATTTGGAAGTCTTGACATGCCTCTCATTCTAGGAAAAAACATTTTAGGTTCAGTGGTCTAACACCAGAACATGGATTTTAAGAATTAATTTCTTGGAATGCCTTGCTCTTAAATATTTCAAAACAGTTTAGATGTACTGCCCACGTAGTGGAAGGCTACATAACCTGGATTTTTCATGTGTTCATTCCTGTACAGCTGAAAGGCTGTACATACTTAGGAATCTAGACACTTTATTAGAATCAAGGAAGAGCTGGGCGCAGTGGCGCACACCTGTGATCGCCGTGGCTCAGGAGGCTGAGGCAGGAGGATCGTGAGTTCAGAGCCAGCCTCAGCAAAAGCAAGGCACTAAGCAACTCAGTGAGACCCTGTCTCTAAATAAAATACAAAACAGGCCTGGGGATGTGGCTCAGTGGTCGAGTGCCCCTGAGTTCAGTCCCCAGTACCGCCCCCCCCCCCCCCAAAAAAAAAACAAACAAAAAAAGAATCAAATAAGATATGATTGAATCAGTTGCTCTAATCAACATTTTACTAATTGTCAAAGAGAAAACTGTTGCGATTTTATTTTTATTTTTCTCCCTTTTTAAGTATCACACATTTTATTGAAATAATTTTCCCTTAAAAGGACCTTTGTAATTCTAGGATGTGAACCCTTAGTGTGAACTGGAGGCTTTTATGTTCATGTTGACTGGCCTGGCCTTTGAATTCCATGCAGGGGTAAACCGATTGCTTTCTTATTTGGAATGTCTTCTTTATCTCGTCCATTATGATTTCTCTTGTCGTGTGTGTGTGTGTGTGTGTGTGTGTGGACTATATATGTCTTTCTTTTTGTCTGTTTACAGTTTAAGGATGAAGGGAACTATTGATTCGCACATAACTGGAAAGATGCCCTCGAGATGGTAGACTTGGAAGTTGAGGGTCTATGTAGGTAGAGCCTTCTTGTCCACCCAGTGTCATTGCTTCTCAGGTGGCTTCCAGGTGGGTTGGTCTCATCTGTCTTCATGTGGGTTAGTTTGGCCAGCAGAACCGGAGAGCTGGATGGAAAGGTTTAGAGCCAATGAATTGGGAGAAGGAATAATCCTAGCATTAAAAATTTAATTTTCCTCAAGAGTTTCTATGCTTGTTTCTGAAGACTCCAGAATGTCATAATGTCCCTATTACTTAGAGCTCCTTGGCTCTTTCTTTTAATAATGTATAAATTCATGATAAAAGTAACAATTTTAGGCCAAGGAAGTAGAAATGGCTGTTGACTAAATAGTTCCCTCAGCTCATTGTAACTTGGATCCACCTTGGCTGCGTGGCCGCTGGAGGGGTTTTTTCTCTGAGTGGTGCTCTGCTCAGTGACTGGTTCTCAGGTTTGCAGGAAGAGTTTTAGGGAAGAAGGGTTCTCTAACTCCAGCATGTCTCCCTTTGATTAAATAGTGTTAGGAGAAAAAGTCCTGGCTTACGTCTTGTAATGCACGTTCGTGTCTGTGCGTGTGTATTTAATAACGTGCGTACTCCCTGTTTCAGTCAGTCCTGCATCTCTGTGACCAAGAGACCTGACGGGGCAACTGAAGAGGGGGAAAGTTGGTTTTGGCTCCTGGTTTAGAGGTTCAGGCTGACTCCGTAGCTTTGGGCCTGAGGAGAGGTGGACTGTCATTGTGGAAGGGCGCAGCAGAGGAACGCAGCTCAGGACACAGCAGCCAGCAAGGAGGGAGAGCTCCGCTCATCAGGGACAAAGTGAAGACCACAAAGTCACGCCCCACCTCCTCCAGCCACCCCACATGCCCAGTTACCACCTCGTTAGTCCATGTCAGTGGATCAGACCGCTGACTTGATCCCAACGCTCCCAACCCAGCCATTGCACCTCTGAACAGTCCTCATTGTCTCACTCCTGAGCTTTTGGGAGTGAGACCTCACATCGCAACATGACACTCACAGACACACACCTACCTTTCACCCTGGAGGAGGAAGGAATGTGGTGTGCACTGAGAGAAAGCGAGCAGCGGCGTAGAAGGTGCCGGAGCCTCCCAGTCTGCGCTTCCCTTTCATGTGGGCTAGGCCAGTGTGTGCCCGAGTTCTCTGGGGGACCCTGTTGACTTAGGTGGTGAAGAGATTGACTAGAAGTAAGAATCTGGTTGTTTCTAAGGATTGAGAGGAAATGGCCTTCATCATCCATTGTTCCTATAGTACAGTTAACTCAGTGCACTGACCTGTTAACGTAAAGATCTTTTTATGTGGTGTTGGGGATCAAGCTCAAAGTCTCGCACATGCTAAGCACATTCTCTACCACTGAGCTGCACTCCCAGCCCTAAAATTTCTTCATTACCAAATTATATTTTTCATGACCTTCTGCATGCTCTGGTTTCTCTGGTCTCCGGGTGGTGTTTGCTCAAGAAATACAAGTGAAATCTATCAATCTTAACAAAATCAGGCAGGGGGAAAGCATGGTCTGTATTCTGAATCATAATGAAACAGCATTGTAAGGGAGGGGGGGGCACTTCACCGTTGGTTGCTAGAGCTGATATAAGCAGGTAGGAAGATTTTAGGAGGAGAAGGAGCAGGATGTATATTCAAATAGATATTTGGATGTTAAGGAGTTAATCCTCTTTGCCCTCTGTGGTAGAGACAGAATGATAAAAGTGCTCTTTAAAAGAATAATCTAGTGATGTAAAAATTGAAGATGACCTATAGGAGACAGTACTCACATTGAGAGTTTCCAGAATGAATCTCATAGGTTATAAATAAAATCAAGGTATTGTGCCATCTATAACTAAAAAAATAAAAAGTGGGGGGCAGGGTTCAGCTTGCAGTAACGTCAGCCTCTCGGCACTCGGGCTGGGAACCACTGGGTTCCTCCAATGGTTTAAAATAGAAAACGAAGAGACAGTGTATGAAACTGGAGATACTTTCCAGAACCAGAATATAGCCCTTGATGGATCCAGAAGGCATTATGAGGACACACTCCTGTGCCTGTCACAGATGAGGAATAGTAGGCGTTTACCTTTAAGGTTTTTAAACATATAGACTTTCTATGGTTTGCTGGCAAGTTATACTTGGATGGTGCCCACAGAAGTGGAGTGTGAGCCATGGGGATGCTCACTCCCCACCTGCCCCGGCACTGAGGATCGAACGCAGGGCCTTGCACAGGATAGAGTGCTCTACCACTGAGCCACATCCCCAGCTCTTTTTTGTTTTGTTTTTGAGACAGGGTTTTGCCAAGTTGCCCAGGCTGTCCTCGAACTTCCAATCCTCCTACCTTAACCTCCTGAGTAACTGGGATAACAGGACTGTGTGCCATCACGCACGCCCTGGTAAGAAATACTTTTTTTTTTATTTTGGTACCAGGGATTGAGCTCAGGGGCACTCAATCACTGAGCCACATCCCAGCCCTATTTTGTATTTTACTTAGAGACAGGGTCTCATTGTGTTGCTTAGTGCTTCACTTTTGCTGAGGCTGGCTTTGAACTCATGATCCTCCTGCCTCAGCTTCCTGAGCCGCTGGGATTACAGGTGTGCGCCACCATGCCTGACTAGAAGTATCATTTTTAAGGCTCCCAAATCATTAGTTCCTTCCCAACAAGATGACAACTATAGTCTTAGTATTTTTAAAAAATAGCTTTATTTTATTCATTTTTATTTTATGTGGTGCTGAGGTATGAACCCAGGGCCTCTCATGTGCTAGGCAAGTGCTCTACCACTGAGCCACAACCCAGCCCCACCCAGTTTTAGTATTTTTGATGAATGAGTATTATAACAAAAAGGATGTCAGTAATATTTTTAAACCGATTTATCCTTATCTGCTATATCAAATCTATATCCAGTTGAAATATAGATGTAATGTCCAAATATAAATACAGACCTTTTGGTGTGTGTGTGTGGTGGGTACTGGGGATTTAATGCTGGGGCTCTCTGCCACTCAGCTACGTCCCCAGTCCATTATTTTTTAAATTTTATTTTGAGACAGGGATTGCTAGGTTACTGAGGCTGGTCTCAAACTTGTGATCCTCCTGTTAACAGTGTCCAAAATTCTTAATTTGAGTTTCAAGACCGTCCTTAATGAGGCTCGTACTGATGTCTTTTAGCCTTAGCTCTCTTGGTGCCCACAACCTGACTTCTCACATTTGGTAGGTCCGTCATCTCAAGGTGTCTGTCTTTTGAGGACTTGCCATTAGCTCCAGCTAAACATGTGCCGTCTTGTCGGGTGGTTCCAGTTATTGGAAATATCCTGCTCCCTCCTCTGCTTAACCATGGCAGGAGATCTATCCAAAGACAAGGGGGGTTTTGAGTTTAGGAAACAAAGACTGCGAGTGCTGCCCTGGGCGTTGAGTTAAAAGAGGGAGAAGTGGCTACAGAAGGTGGCAAACGCTTGGTTGGAGCTGGACAGTCATGGGCTGCCCTGGTCTGCAGAGCCTCCGCCCCAGCCGCGCTGTGTGGTGCTGCCGGGCACCGTCTGTCTTCACGTCCTTCCTTCACACCCAGCCAGTCGGGTCGGGCCCACCTCTCCTCTCACCCATCTTTGCTGGGTTCTTCTCTCTTTCATTTATAGTATAAAATAAAAATTTCTTCCAGGAAAAAAAATGGTGTTCTCAATTTTTTGACTTGCTTATTTTGCGGTCTTGTGGGAGGATGGAGAAGAGTTCTGTGGTAAAACACACACACACACACTTACCCAATATTTGAGGACTGTTGTTAAATCTGTTTTTTAATTTACTGGTGCGAATGTGGGGAAAAGGCAGGTTCACTCTGGCAGTGAGGAGGGGTGTCGGGAATGAACCGACTGACCCTCAGGTGCTGCTCCCGACTCTCTGGGTTGTGTTTTCTCTGTTGTTGGATTCATCTTTCTTGACTTTTTAAAAAAAGTTTCTTCTGGCACAAAGCTCATAAAGCTGTGGAAAGAAGGTGAAAAGTTTGTGTTATTATCTCACATTGTGGAATTGAAACAATACACCTCACGCGGTAAGAGTCTGTCCTTGTCCTGGGACGGACGGTTTCCTAGGCCTTGATGACCAGAGGGAATGGAAAGGGGAAGGAAACGTAGAATACGCCTTGTCCCTCCCTGTGGGGAGGACTGGGAGTTGGCACCAGCGGCGTTTTACCACTGAGCTGTATCCCCAGTGTGCTTCATTTTTTATTTTGAGGCAGGGTCTCAGCTTATTTGCTGAAGGTCTCACTGAATTGCTGAGGCCAGCCTTGAACTTGTACCCCTCCTGCCTCAGCTTCCAGAGTGTCTGGAATCACAGGTGTCGGCTCCGGCCCCGTGTACGCTGTGTCTTGTTGTTAGACCAGAGTCGTATCCCTGGGCAGACCTGGCTGACCCTGGAGGAGGTGGGGAGGGAGCAAACCTTGGTCTCTGCTGGCTGCAAGGTGGGACAAAGAAGAAACAGACGCTGCTCAGAAAGTTCAGGTGGCTTCCCACACACGGCAGGGGGCTGTTGGCAGAGTGACCTCGGGTCAGGAAGGCCACTGAACTCGGCTTCCAGCAAACTCCCCCTCCCTTTCCTCACACATAAGCCCAGTAACTTGGTCGATATGATCCTTCTGGACCCAAGAAAATGTGGACTTTTTATTCTACTGAACATTATCTCTTCCATAGTTCCGCTGAGCCTTCAGTTGGAAGAGGAGGATAAAGAAAAAGAAGCTGATAAATAGTACATATTCTCTTGTTTAATCGAATATTCAGCGTTGAATTTTCTTTCTTTTTGGGGGGGGTGTGTGTACCTATAAAGTTACTTGAATTGAATATAGGAGAAAGATCATTAAATGTTAGTGTTCACTTTTCACCTGACTGAAACCAGGACAGAAGCTCAAGAGATCTTGTTCTAGGACAACTTGGGAGCTGAAGGTGGTTAGTGAACGTGATACTAGACTACAGGGAGCAAGGTTTTGTGGTTAGACTTTTTCTCCTTTAGAGTTTTTATTATACCTGAAGAAATAAAATTTATTTTATTAATAACAGTAGCCTAGGGGCTGGGGTTGTGGCTCAGCAGTAGAGCGCTCGTCTAGCACGTCCGAGGCCCTGGGTTCGATCCTCAGCACCACATAAAAATAAATAAATAAAATAAAGATGTTGTGTCCAGTTTAAAAAAAATAATAATAACAGTAGCCTAATCATCCCAGGGTATTTGGATTCAATAAATCATGTTGGAAGGGTCAGACTTCTGTAGAGTTGTATTTAAATATGGAAACTGGCAGTTCCATTTACGAATCCTTCCCAAGGATAAAAGGTAAGGTAGGTGTCTGTCTGATGATTTGCAGTTAAGGGGCCGGCATAGGGAGGTTTTGCTGGTCCTGATTCTGGAAGATGGTGATGGAGGTGGAGAGAGTAGGTCATTTCTGTTTCCTGATGAGTAATTGGGATATTTGCTTGTATGGGATTGTATGACTCACCATGAAAGCATCTGACCCATCATTGAAAGTTCTTTAAGAAATTTATTAAGAGCCAACTATGTGTCAGCTGTTGTCTTTTTGTTGGGGTAAATAAGACAAGTCTTTGTGTTTTCAGAACCTACATTCTGGTAACACTCCACCTGGTAGTTATTATTTTGAGGAAATCCTAAATAAAATGGAATTAAGAATGCCAAGGACAGCCGGACGCAGTGGCGCATTCCTGTCATCCCAGCAGCTCGGGAGGCTGAGGCAGGAGGATCGCGAGTTCAAAGCCAGCCTCAGCAACAGCAAGGCACTTAGCAACTCAGCGAGACCCTGTCTCCAAATAAAACACAAAATAGGGTGGGGATGTGGCTCAGTGGTCGAGTGCCCGAGTTCAATCCCCAGTACAAAAAAAAAAAAGAGAGAGAAGAAGAAGAAAAGTGCCGAGGACAGGTGAAAACGCGCCTCAGTTACTTGTTATACAAAAGCATGATGAAAAGCTATTGGAAGTTCCAAATTTTTTTTATCTAAGGGGGAAAACCCTCTTTCACATTGTAAATGGTGCTCAGGGGACTTAGCTACAAAGTATTTATACAGTCAGTCTGGACATCCACTCTGTTGAGCAGCTGCATTGTTAAACCCTCCTCCCCAAGTCCGCGTCTTGCCTTCTTCCCTTTCCTGCAGTAGGTAAAGGCACGGGGCCTCACCTTGTAGCCAGTACATCTGTTCATCACCTGCACTGGCAGCCTGTATTTACCTGCCTCTCCCACGGCCTCCGTCCTACCCAGTAGGAAGTCTGACTCAGTGTGTTCCCCAGTGGTGGGACTTGAACCAGGGTGCTCCACCTGTGCACTCTACTGTCCTGTGTATCGACTTAGGACAAAACTCATAAAACCTTATAAACAAACAACCCTTTTAAAAAGTACAGGATTCTTATTTTTGTATCATTTCCTTGTTAAGTGCATGAATATTACATTCATTTTTCAAAGATGAAACAATATTTTGTGTGAAAATTTGATGATTCCCCAATCTTACTGAGCCACATCCCATTGCTTTCTGAATTTTTGAGATGGCCTCACTAAGCTGCCCGGCCGCCTTGAACTTGCTCCCTTTCCCTCAGCCTGCAAGTCACTGGGATCAGAGGCGCGTCACCACTGCCGCTTGGGGAGTTTTAGGACCTTGGACTCCGTTGAGGACATGGTGATAGCCAGGGCCCAAGGAACATCTCCCTCTCCCCTCCCGGAGAAAGCCAAGGCAGCAGAGGCACAGCACTCCCCTGCTCGTGGGCCGGACGTCCTTGTGAACATACCTCGGAAGGCCACCAGGCTTGTGAAGAGCCAGAACCACGGCTTTTCCTGTGGGAGACCTGAGCTGAGCGCGCCTCCACTCTGGCTGACCTCGGGGTGCGTTCTCTGTTTCAGTCCTGTCACCGTGTAGTTCCCTGTCTCTGGTTCAAAGGGGAGTCGGAATGATGAGAGGGTCTCTCCACCTGTGCACGGTGTCGAAATGCACTCTCTGCCCTGTGTAGCGACTTAGGACAGAACTTACAAAAACCTGATTAAACAACTCTTTTAAAAAGTGCAGGATTCTTATTTCTGTATCACTTCCTTATTTGTTAAATGCATGAATATTACATTCATTTTTCAAAGATGAAACAATATTTTGTGTGAAAATTTAATAATTCCCCAAGTCTTAAAAAGGAATCATGGATCGAGGGAAGGTTTCACAAATCATCTCTTTTCGCATCATCTCAGAACATCTCACATGATCTCTAAGGATACCTCCCAGCATAATTCATTGTCCAAATAAGTATTTTTAACGCGGGTGGTGGTGGTGGTACACTTAAGCAGCAATAACTGTAGAATCCAGGGTTGCAGAGAGACCTTGGAGGAACTCCAGAGTTCTGCCAGAGACGGCTAAGACAGCTTAATCACCTTGGACCTGTGTGTTCCCAACTCACTCACAGACCGTCTTCTGGAGTGGATCAAGAACGTGACAAAGTTAAAATCTTGGACGTTAGAATACATGTGGGTTTTTATCATCTACTTGCTGGGTGAGCTTAGTTGTCACAGGGCAAGTATAGCACCTACTTCAAGAGCACGTGGAGAGAAAATGAAATAACATTCAGCACAATGCCTGGCACGTTAGTAAGCACTCATGATGTGAAAAGCCTTGTTTAGTGATGTCACCTGTTACCTGTCTAGTCCTACTAGTTTCCAAAGGAAACCTGATCTCCACAGCTAGGGATTGATTACCTGATGCGCTCTGATGCTTAAATAGGCGGAAAGGATGAGAAAGGCATTCTTTGTTAAGAAAAACGACCACAAGCAGAAACACTTAGAATGTATTAGGAGAATGTGAATACTAGACTGTAAGGAGCAAGGACTACACTGTACCTCATACTCTTCTCCAACGCCTGGCACTGTACCTGGGATAGATTATAAATATTTGTTAGGCAAATGGAAAAGGGTAACCATTTATTTAATTAGAGCAAGTATTCACAAAATAATAAAGTTTTGCAGAGCCTCCAGTGCCAGGATTTAAAAAAAAAAATGCCTTATACTTTCTGAAGAGTAGTGGTGTGGAATATGCAAATTAGCATTTTAGTGTGTCTGGTGGCAGTATGTAGGATGGGTTGGAGGAAGAGACTTGTGAAGCGTCTTTGGGAAGCAAAGTAACTGACTGGCTTAGGGATGAGAACCACGGAATCACAAGGTCTGGTTGACTGCTCCCGCCCCGCCCTTCAGTGTGAACGTTGTGCTGGGATCAAACGGAACCAAGGTCTGCATTGAGAATCCTGTGCAGAAATCGGGCTCGGGAGGGTAGTGTTGGTGTCCAGGAGATGGTAGGGCATCTGGGAGCCGGGAGTCCACTTGTCAGTGGGGATGTTGACAACAAAAGAGACTAAGGGCTGGGGTGTGGCTCAGCGGTGGAGCGCTCGCCTAGCACAGGCGGGACCCGGGTTTGATCCTCAGCACCACCTAAAAATAAAGGCATTGTGTTGTGTCCATCTACACCTAAAAAAGAAGTAAATATTAAAAAGAGAGAGGCTGAAGCTGGAGAGGTTAATTTATGGGTCCTTTGCAAGGAGGTACAGGGATGGATATGAGGGTGGATGCAGACGGAGGAGAGGAAGTTGAAGGGGTGAAGGGTCTTAGGAAGGACTCAAGAGGTGAGAGGAAGAAATGGAAGAGAGAAGAAGATTAAAGAAATCCTATAGGTGGGGGGACCAGGGGACAGGTACAGAAGCCAACGAGGGGGAGTTTGAGGAAGGAGCCAGGAGTTAGAGAAGGGCCGGATGCCGCAGCTAGGTCTGCAGCTAGGTCAGGAAGATACTAAGAAGCAGGGAAGAGACTAGATCCACGGAGTGGAGCCCGGCGCGGTGGCGCACGCCTGCGATCCCAGCCGCTCAGGAGGCTGAGGCAGGAGGATCTCGAGTTCCAAGCCAGCCTCATCAACAGCGAGGCCCTAAGCAACTCAGTGAGACCCTGTCTCTAAATAAAATACAAATAGGGCTGGGGATGTGGCTCAGTGGTCGAGTGCCCCCGAGTTCAATCCCTGGGACAGAGAAAAAAAGTGAAGTACAAAATCTTAATTAATTAGTAACCAACCATAGGATACGATGAAAACATTTGTCAAATAGCTCCTTACTAGGTTTTTTATTTGGTGGGGGGAGGAGAGGATAATTATTTTTCTAATAATTAAGACAGTGTTGGAATTTTTTAGATGATATTAGCAGTGTCCTCTTATCCTCCTAGATTTATCCCCTAGATGATGACTGCCAACTCTTTTAAATGTCTTATTCCCTAAATACTATGCTCATATTGCCACTTGTTAATAGTGCAGCTTAAACATTACCTGTCGACCTTCTGTTGCGGTGATGATGATATGGTGCCCTCTTTCCAGTGCTCAGGATTGGGCCCAGGGCCCCATGCATGCTAGGCCAGCACTCTACTCACAGCCCAATTCAAATTCTGTAAATGTCATTTTTGCAGAGTAATGTGCAGTTTCTTTTTGAAATTTTATTTTTTAAAATGATTTTTTGCTGACAGAATTTCCAGGTCCACGTCATGAATCTTTTTATCAGGTTTGTCATAGGTTCAGAAAGGTGATCTGTTAATTGCCTTTTTCTCCCCAGAGCTCTCCTCTCCCAAGTCCTCTCTTGCTCTCTTCTTTTTCCCCTTTTTGGCCTCTTTTCATTCTAGAATCTCCTTCCCTCTTCCCTCTTCCACGTTCTTGGAGCCCATGTGTCCACTTTCCTGCTTCGCTGTTTTGTTTTACTGAAGCACATCCCTCTGCACTTCTTCCAAAGTCCCCGTGAAAGGCTAGGTGTTTTGTCATTCGTATCTGAAAGCATCTCTTCTTACATTGATGGGTAGTTTGGCTGGATACATTGGGGGGGGGAGATAATTTTTTTTTCACAGAATATGGAAGACTTGCTCTATTGTCTGGGAATACAGGAACAGAGAAGCACCCTCTGTTGGGCCCACGATGAAGTTGGGGCTGGGTGGCCATGTGCAGGCAGTGCCAAGGTAGTAATGGACCAGAGGACCCGCACAAGATGCAGGAGATGTGCAGAGGCCTTGCTGTCTTGGAGAGGTCGCGGTCCCGAGGGCCTGGGTCCTGTCAGCTCTCGGTGCTGTGGGGGTACTGGGTCCTGAACCCAGGACCTGCCCTCATGAGGCACGTGCTCTACCACAGAGCTACACCACCTGTCCCCTGTCAGCTTTCTGATGTCTGATTCTGAGAAACAGCTGAAGGCAACTGTATTATATATTCTGCTTTATCTCTACCCACACCTTGAGTCCGTGGTGGCTTCAGTAGGTGTCTGTTTCTTGCAACTAAATGCTCCTTAAGTCAAGCCCCCATTTTATCTCAAATGCACCCCCCTGCCTTTTTTAGAAATATAGCCATATCTTAAGGAGAACTCTAAATTAGGAGTTAGGAAGCCTAAACCCCACACCTGTGCCTGTTTTTACTAGCCCCAGCCATTTATAATGACAACTCTTTTCACCCCCACTGTGACTCAGTCTCCCAATAAAAATAAGATGGCCACTCCCAAGATTTTTTTTTTTTTTTTTTTTAGTTGTTGATAGACCTTTATTCTATTCATTTATATGTGGTTCTGAGAATGGAACCCAGTGCCTCACACATGCCGGGCAAGTGTGCTACCACTGAGCCCCAGCCCCAGCCCAGACTTTTTGAATTAAAGACAATGAGATTTCCTATGGCACTATCTGCCAGTGGGCATGATGCCAAAGGATTGAGTGACAAGAAGGACTTTCCCCAAGATGGAGAGTACCTATGATGGCATTAGGGATATCAGGGACTTACCTGTGACTAAAACAGAGAAAAAATGGCCTTGAAGGTGCAAACCCAGTTTCTGGCTCCTGGCACAGCACTGGTACGTCCCGATGTCCCCTGGTGTGACTCTGTTGATGGTGTACACCAGCTGAGAGGACTTCTCACTGACATCGTCCATCTCGGGATCCCTCTTAGGTCTCAGCTGCTTCAGGCTGACCTCAGAGGAGCAGTTCCAAGATCTGTCTTTGCACAAAAACACTATGAACCCCTCGGCTTCTTCTCTCTTGTGCCACAGCGTACAGATGAAGGTCAGTTGCTCTCCGTGCTGGGAAGCTGAGCTGGTGATGTGTAGGCCTCCTGGAACGTGAAGAGCAGGTTACCCAGAGGGGCCAGGTGGAGCGGCTTGGGCCCACCATAGCTGCTTCCTTCACGGGAGGTCTTTAGCCCAACCTAGCAGCTACCCTGGGAGACAAGAGACAAGTTCTGACTCTGACTGCAGGCCAGTTACCTAACTCCGGAGCAGTGAGCAGCATGTGCACCTGGGAAGGGGAGTTCAGAGACAATGAATCAGCTTAGTTTCCACAGTGTGCACCGGGCCAGGGATGTGACGGACAAGACAGGGGCTTCACCAAGAGTTACAGCCTAATACAGAAACAGATTAGCAGAGAATCATAACACACTTAGAGATTCTCGCATCTATCCAAGGAATCAGGAAAACGTCACAGAGAGGTTTGAGTCCTTGAATTGAGACTTGAGAGTAAGTGCCCGGGTCCTGTCAGCTCTTGGTGCTGTGGGGGTGCTAGGTACTGAACCCAGGCCTGCCCTCCACAGAGCCACACCACCTGTCATTCCCTATGAAATGAAAGGGTGAGGCAGGGGCCTCCGGCAGTAGAGAGATTTAAAAATGGTCTTCATGTGGAATCAGAACGAGGACTGACTGGAAAAGCAGACAAGTTATTGAGGGACCATGACTTTCAAAGACCATGAATCTGCAGACTTGATGATCTTATCTATAGGTGATCTATAGCTTGGACACAGAAACGGAGAAGACAGACAGTGGGACGAACCCGGGGTGCTGCTCTGGCCCCGCAGGTGTCTTGACCTGACTTTCCAGCCCACTGACCTGCCGCGCCTGTGTCCCCTGCTCTCCTCACGTCCCTCCTTGCAGTTCACACTTTGTGACCCAATGCTGCAGGCTCTTCTGTCCGCCCTCCGCTCCCTGAACCTCGATTCCTTTCAAAACCCAAGCGTTGACTACATTCAGCTCCGCTAAAAATCCACCAGACGTGTACTGACCTTGCTGCCCCCCCCGCCACCCGGGGCCTGCTTCTCCTCGGTGGCCGTGGTAAGTCCACTCCCTTAAAAGAGCACTTCAGTTGGGGCTGGGGCTGGGGCTGGGGCTGGGGCTCAGGGGTAGAGCACTTGCCTAGCATGCATGAGGCCCTGGGTTCGAACCTCAGCACCACATAAATGTAAAATAAAGATATCGTGTCCACCTAAAACTAAAAGATAAATATTAAAAAAGAGTACTTTAGCACCTAGAGCCCTATCTGAGGGAAACCTGCAATCCCATTAATTCAGAAATATATTTATTTCTATTCTCCAAATTGAACTTATATAGGGTCTTTATTAGAATGCTTTCTTATCCACCTAATCCTCACTGTAGTCATGGAGACAGGTATCATTGTTACCATTTTATAAATAAACCAAGGCACAGGTCATTGGGTTGCTAAAATTGACAAGATTGTATTATGTGGGTTTCAGATCCACACCTTAGGAACGTGCAGCGGGTGAAGCCTGAAGGAATCCTATGGCCCAGATTACGAGGCTCTCGTCAACATATACAGAGGGAAGATGTCTGACGGAGAAGGCAGCAATGCTAGCACAGTGAGGAAGAAGTCACCCGCCCACCAGTGTCAGGAAGAGTGGGCCCTTTTCTTACACACACACACACACACAGAGCAAAACTTGGAATCATCCCTCCCCATGAGCCCAGGGTTCCCCGAAGTCCCCTCTCCCCGGGGGTCCTTACCACCAGGCTGCATGTCCACAATTGTCATCAGGATGACCAGGGCACAGCAGCCTCTGCCAGGTGCCGCCAGTGTCCTCCACATTGTCAGCAGCCGCGGGAACTTGAAGTTAATGTCGGTTTTGCCGATGTCCTTGGCTTTGAGCTCCTGAAAGCACAGGGGAACCCCTAGACAGAGCTTCCAGAGCTTGAGGCCCGTCTCCCTGTTTCAGGCCTCGTTTGGCTGGCTGCGGTGAAGGTGGAGGGAGCTGGGGCACTGAGAGTCCAGCTGGGGCCGGGCTGGGGCTCAGCAGCAGAGCACTCACCTCGCACAGGTGAGGCACTGGGTTCCATCCTCAGCACCACGTAAAACAAATCAGCGAAGTGAAGACATTGAGCATGTCTTCATAAAAGAGTCTAGTGGCCTGGAAGTGGGACCACAAACCCAACGAGGTGTATGGGAGACAGGAGTTGGGGCAGGAGAGAGGCCCAGGGACACACCGATGCCTCTGTTCACAGAGGGGTTTTTCTAAGTTAAATTGAATTTCTGGATCAAAGAATATGCACACTGAATCTTTTTTCACCCTGATCATCTTGCTCGCCAAAAGGTTGTTGACATTTAGATGTTCACCAGGAATGCTTGATAGTGTGCATCTGCTCATGCCCTTGCCTGTGTTGGATTTATTTGTATTTCACATTTTTTGCCAATCTGAAAGATGAAAAATTAGATCTTACTGTGGTTTTATTTGCATTTCCATGACTGGTGAGGTTGAAGATCTTTTCATGTGTTTATTGGTCATTAGTATTTCCTCTTTTATTAATTGCATGTTCATATTTTTGCATTTTTGTAAAACTCAACTTTTAGGAGTTTTCTCTATATTAGAGAGATTAATCTAGCTGCTATTTCTTTTTCCTTTGGTACTGGGGATTGAACTCAGGGACACTTAACAACTGAGCCACATTCCCAGACATATTTGTATTTTATTTAGAGGTGTTCTTGCTGAGTTGCTTAGAATCTCTCTTTTTTTTTTTCAGTCCTGGGAACTGAAACCAGGGGTGCTCTACCACTGAGCTAAATTTCCAGCCCTTTTTATTTTTTTAATTTGAGACAGGAGCTCATTAGATTGCCAAGGCTGGCCTTGAACTTGTGATCTTTCTACCTCTGCCTCCTGAGTAGCTGGAATCTGAAGCATCACCACCACACCTGGCTGAACTTTTAAAATCGACACATGGGCTGGGATATGTAGCTCAGTGGCAAAATATTTTCATAGCAGACTGAAGTCCCTAGGTTCGATCCTCTGCACTACAAACAAAAACAAAAAACATAGAAAATAATAAAACTGGACATACGATTATTGTATGCATTTATGAGTATGGGAGTGTTAATATAGCAAGTGTATAATGATCAAACCAAGATAATCAGCATTCCCAGCTCCTCAATAATCTCTTTGTATTGGGGATCTTAAAACTCCTCTCTCTAGTTCCTTATTAAATATATGACATGTACAGCATTTGTGAAACACATTATTAAATATATGATGCGTATGTAGAGAAATGTATTTTATATACACATGATTGTAGCCACAGTTACCCTGCTGTGCTATGGACCACTAGGACTTCCTCCTCCTGTCTAACTCTATTTTGGTACCCATTATCCAACCTCCTTGGGTCTTCCCTCCCCTTTTATGGCCTTAGTGACTACTATTCTACTCTGTTTCTATAAATTTCATATTAAAAACATTTTCTGCCAATTTGTTCTTGTCTCTTGGTTATAGTGCTTTTTTTTTCTCTTAAAAATTTACATTTGTATGTAGTGTTAAATGAACATTTCTTTTTAGTTGCCTGAGTTTCCAGTGTTGTTTAAGAAATTTCCCTTGGCTTAAGGTTATTGTTTTCTTCCAATATTTTTATTGTTTTACTTTTTAGTAGATGTGCTGCTAAAGTGAGCACCATTGTTTACCTTTATTTATTTATTTATTTTTGGTACTAAGGATTGAACCCAGGGGTGCTTAAACACTGAGCCACATCCCTAGCCTGTTTTTTTTTTTATTTTGAGATGGGGGTCTCACTAATTTGCTTTCAGCCCTGCTAAATTGCTGAGGCTGGCCTTGAATTCTAATCCTCCTGCCTCGGCCTCACAAGCCTCTGGGATTACAGGCGTGCACCACTGTGCCTGGCTACTTTTTATATTTATATCTTCTAATGGCCACTAAAAAATTACACCCATATCAAAAAACACAAACTGAAAGACAAGACAAAAACCCTGAGTATCATCAATAGGAAGATGATCAATGAACTGTGATCTGTACAACAGAATATCAGGCAGCCATACGCCCATGACTCTGTTTCGGTTCCTAACGGGTGGCATGTACAGCGGTGGTTCTGTCCTTTATAAGGGGAGTGAGGGAGGGACACAGCTGCAGAAGAAGCAAGGGAAAAGGGGACTTTTGGGTGGGTACTGGGGATTGAACCCAGGGGTGCCCAACCACTAACCCATGTCCCCAGTCCTTTTTGTTTTGAGACAGGGTCTTGCTAAGTTGCTTAGGGCTTTGCTAAGTTGCTGAGGCTGCTCTCAAACTTGCAATCCTCCTGCCTCAAGCCCCCAAGTCACTGGGATCACAGGTGTGCACCACTACCCCCAGCTCAGAAAAGGAAACTGAAGGAGAAGTAAAAAAAACTCAAAAAGAATTCACAGTCAAGGGTTTAGAAGAAGCTTTGTAGACCTCAGAAAGCTCCTTAAAAAGTCTGAAAGCACGGACCCCAACCCCAAAACCTTCTCATTGATAGAGAAGCATGTTCATGGTGCACCGTCTGCTCACAGGCACATTCATGATGAACAAAGGAGCATCCAAGCAACCCCATGCACGTGTCTGAAGTGACGTCTCCTGGAGAGAAGCCTCGGGGAGTCCTGCAGGATGGATCCCAGAAAGAGGCAGTGCCCCACAGGAGACCACAGTCCCCTGTGGGTCAGGGCCCTGAAGGCCTTCCAGTGGGAAGAGACGCGAGGTGCAGGACAGTGACCCTGGTGGTCCTGACCTTGGTAGGCTAGGCTAATGGGGGGGGGGGTGTTGTTGCTGGGGTTGAAACCAGGGCCCTCACCCGACCAAGGCGGGTGCCCCCCCCCGGCCCCACAGCCCCCCCTTTTTTTTTTTTTTTTTTTTTAATAGAAAAGACGTTTTTAAACATTTGAAAATAGGAAAAGGCTTATAGAATATTAATCTGTTTTTATATAGTTGTACAATGTGTTTGTGTTTTAAGCTGAGTTTTATGAGTCAAATTTTAAAATCAAGTCCATAAAGTAAAAATGTTGCAGTAAGCTAAGGTTGGTTTATGGTTGAGGAAAAAAGGGTCATCAATGTGAGTGGCCCAAGTTGACAATGTTACAGGGTTTACTGTAGTGTGCAATAGTGGCCTTGCTCACCCCGAACAAGTCACTACTCGGGTGCTCTCAAGTCCCATCCACAGGAGGAGGCGCTGGTTCCCCACCACCGTCACACCTTTGACTTTCCACTGCTGCGCAGGGGTGAAAGGCTGTTGATTGTGCCTATCGATTTCAGACTCAGGGACCTTCCCTTACTCGATCCTGTCATTATTTGCAAGACTCTTTCCGTTGATCCTCCTGGATTTTTCAGTTGTACATTATTCAGTTGTACCATTTTATATCTCTAATTTCTTTCTTTTAATTGTGTTGGTTACTATCTCCAGAAAGTGTTAAATGATGGTGGTGATATTGACCCTCAGTCTTTTTTTCCTAATTTACTGTTAGATGTTTTGGTTGTTTCCTTGTGAACCATGATGCTAACTGTGGGGATGAGAGATATTTTGTTATGTTAAGGAATATTCTTTTTTTAACATTTTTTTTTTTTTTTTTAGTCGTAGATGGCCACAGTACCTTTATTTTATTTTTATGTGGTGCTGAGGATGGAACCGAGGGCCTCGCACTTGCTAGGCAAGCGCTCTGCCACTGAGCCACAGCCCCGGCCCCCTTAAGGAATATTCTTTACTTCTAGAGTTTAAAAATAATCAAGAATGGATGCTGAATGATTTTTAATTGCCTTTAAACATCAACTAAAATGACCACAGGATCTTTCTTTATAGACAAGTGAGTTTGATGATCAATGTTGATAGGTTTCCTGAAATTGATAGTCATGCAATTCTAAATAAAGACACAAAAAAACCCAAGATTATTTGCTCATGGTATATTATTCTTTAACTACACTTCTGAATTCTGATTTATAATATTTCATTTAAACTTTTACTTCAATATTCTCAAATAAGACTGACTTTTAAAATTTTGGGGTGTTTTTTTTTAATAGAATTTTAGAATAAATGTTATTCTTACTTTAGAAAAAGATTATGGAGGGCTGGGGGAGCTACTCAGTTGCCAGAGTGCTTGCCTAGCATTCACAAGGCCCTGAGTTTAATCCCCAGCACCACCACCACCACAAAAAAAAAAAGATTTTGAAATAATCTGTTCTTTATAGATTTAGTAGAATTCTATAGTGACATTCTCTGGCCCTAATGCTTCTGTGAAGTTGGACCTTGATAACTTTTCTCTATTCCCATTTGGTAGTTAGTCGTTAAATATTTTCTCTTTACTGGAACCAGTTTTGGTTAATTATAAGTAAGTGTGTGTGTGTGTGTGTGTGTGTGTAAGAAAATTATCTGTTTAATTCCCAATTTGTATTCATGAAACTGAGAAATGAATCCCTTTTAATTCTATAAACTTCCTCTGCGGCTGGGCTGGGGCTCAGCGGTGGGGCTCTTCCTAGCATGTGTGAGGCCCTGGGTTCCATCCTCAGCACCACATGAAAATAAACTGAATAAAGGTCTTCTGACAACCAAAAGTATTAAAAAAAAAAAAAAACACTTCCGCTGCATCTGTGGCTTTTTAAAACCTTTTTGTTTTGGGTATTTGTGCTTTCTCTTCCTTTTTTTTCTTGATTACATTAGTTAATTATCTTTTTTTGCTTTTTTTTCCTGAATAAATAGCTCATTTTACTTATTAGTTGTGCCATTTTCTATTTTCTTACTTATTGATTTCCACATTTCACTGTTACCTCTTATCTTTTGCTTTCTTAAGATTTAATTTTTTTTCATTTTCTAAATTCCTGAGTTAGATACTTTATTTTCATTTTTTAGTATAAAAATCACTTAATTTTTCTTTTG